TGATGTCCAGTTTCACGGCTGCTTCTGGTAAAGTCTAGCATTCTGAAAACATTCCTAGGATGCAAACACCCTAATACCGCCACAATGGTCAGGTTTCCACCAGGAATCTGGGAGACACACTCAGGCCCTAGCAGTTCGCGTGCTGAGGCATCAGTACCTCCTGTTTATAAACGGAGGCTCAGGGCCACAGTGCTGAGGGAGAAAGCAAGGCAGGCAGCGCCTGGCCCGCCAGAATCCGCCCGCAGCCCTAGATTCCGGTGGGGGAGAGCGGGCCCCTTGGGGGTGCTTAGGGGGCAGGATGCGCCTAGATGGATTAATGCCACTCTGTTGGGGGGATAGAGTTGGTGCTGGGCTCTTCCTGCCTCTGTCCCTCCCCAAGGACACTGTGGAGACCAGGCCGCCCCAGACACACAGCCTGCTGGGCTCGGGCCTGCACTCAAAGCTCTGTTCCTAGGAGTCACCCAGCGCCAGTTCGTGGCAGCAGTGCCCACGGACTGTGACACTGCTCAGGGCCTTTCAGCTTTCAGTTCCACGGAGGGCTCAGCTCCAGCTGGTGGGCAGAGGGAATGGTCAGTTCTGGGAGGGAAACGTGGTGACATTTTTAAAAACTGAGAAGCCTTGTGTGATAGAAATTGAATCTAGCTACATATAAGAAGATAACAAAACAGCTACAAAACAGGCTGCACTTACTCTTTTTTCTAGTTTATGCAAATTATTATTATTGTTGTTGTTGTTGGCTTCAGGGATCAAACTCATGGCCTCATGCTTGCCAGGCAGGTGCTGTATCCCTGAACTGTTTCTTCAGCCCAAATTTTATTATTCATTAAAAATGAACCACCCGGGGCTAGGGATTTAGCTCAGCAGCATAAGCACCTGCCTTGCAAGCAGGCGGTTGTGAGTTCAATCCCCAGTACCGACAAAAAGGAAAAAAGACAAAAAAAAAAAAAAAAACAAAAAAAAAACACCTATAGTACTTTAAAGTTTAAAGAGGTGCGTACAATTATACATGTCAGACACTGTGGACTGAACTAATTTCCTCTCATTGTTCAATCAAAAACAGAGAAAAGCCATTACTATTTATACCTTAAACATCTGAGACTTTTGCCTCAGTATGGAGGTCTGAGTCTGACATGGTGACTCGAGGATTTCCCAAGGGGTCAATTTGAATGCACACGGGGGGTTCATAACTGTTCCCCCAGCTCATCTAGAAGCCGAGCTGCCATTGAGTCTCTTAATTGAGTTGGTGAACATTTTTCTTCTGAAGAATCAAATACAGCAGCAGCATAAGAGATCTACAAACCTAGGTTATATCTTCCACAAATGTCAAGGATTTATTTTACTCAGAAATTATGTAAGTGAAAGGATTTTGCCCCATTTGGGACACTGTAGCTGGTAAAAAGCCTTGGAGGCGAACCCAGGGGTTCTATCTTCCCCATCTTCCCCGCCCCTAGGAATTCACCTGTGGTGCCAAATGAATACTAATGGGCTACCTGCCAATCACTAATGCCCCTTAGGCACCAGCCCAAACCTAAGCTACATGTATGCCCCCACACCACGTGTTCAACGGAGAGAATGCCAGGCCACGGAGACAATGCCAGACCCCGGAGGGTCAGGGGTCTCTCCCCCCATTCTTAAAATAAAGGTCATTTATATTTCATACTTCTTATCTTTTCAGGCGCGCCAAAATTCTATCGTATGGTTCCCTGATCGGGAATCCAATTCTATCAATAAGGAGTTTCAAAAGATCTTTATCTCATTTTTTAAAACATTACTTAAAGGAAAGTTAAGCAATAACAGATGATGATATAATTTCTACATGTTGGTATAGGATATATTTTGAATAAAATCAAAGAGATTAGGCAATATAAAGAAACCAAACAATTATAAAGCATGGTTTTGAGGAAGTGTTTGTGATCTGGGGTCCTTTGAGATAATATTCTATGAAGGTCGGTCCCTCACCTGAGAACGCTCACAGATTCTCTGGGGAGCAACAGGAAGGATGCAGGATATATGTAAGCAGCGTCAAAAACAGATTTATTGGCTTTATACTTTTTTTTTAAAGAATGTCTCAAACTCTTTCTGTGTGAAAGTAGAATTGGAGAAACACACGTGTGTGAAAGGGTGTCCTCAGTGGCGCAGCCATTGCTGCCTCCTCCCGGTCCACACTGACAGGCTTGGGAGACGCAGGGCGGTGCTTTCTTTTTGCTCTTTTGGAGAAAGGGAAAGTCCCAGTTTTTATTGGGGGAAGCAAAGGTGCCTTGGTGATGTTCTTTGGGCTACGATGAGGAGATGGAGCGATGGGCATGTCTCAGGTGGGGCACAGCAGGAGTTTTATTTGGCTAAGAATCCCACATCTCTCTTATCTGTGCGTTTCTTAGATCGAGGCCTGGTGACTGGTCTGTTCCTTGTGCTTGTGAGATTCTGCGTGTACTTGCAGTGGGAAAGGAGAAATCAGCAGAACCTTCCCCAGAACTGCTGGACCCACAGATGCCACCTCAGACTTACTGCTGTTTTCCTCTCTGTTCAAGTCAGCATTTTCATTTTATTTTGTCTTTTCTAGATAGGGTTTCACTGCATAGTTCAGGCTGGCCTCAAGCTCACTTTGCATACTAGCCTAGTTTCAGACTTGCAGTGATCCTCCTGCCTCAACCTTCCAAGTGCAGGGATTACATGTGTATCCCTGTGTACACGTGAGGGCGCTTGGCTGGTGTTCATTTTTTTGCAGCAAAGGAGAGAGATGAATTGTGTCTTCCAGATTAAAATTGTGAATATCAGTGGAGCTGATAAATTTCTCCAATTTTTGAGAGCAGTTTTTTGATTTTCACTTCTGTTCCATTTATACTTTGATGTAGTCTTAGATTTTCTTCTGTTGGCTTTTCATTTGTCTTTTTTTCTTGTTTGTACATCTCTGGACTTTTTTTTTTCCAATTTAGGTTCTAAAAATTACTTCTTTCATTTCGGTAAACTGTCCTATAGAATCAGCTTTGGAGATACATTAAATTTGTCTTTGTTCCATCGGTGGGCAGACATTTTTTCTTCATTTTTTGGGATGTGCATGTTTACTATGGAATCTACATATCTGATTGCTTCCAGTTCAAAAGACTGCACTCCAAATGACTTCATCGTCACCTGAGGTGTCACACTGGCTTAGATTATTAAAATGTCTCTTTGTGTGGCAATAGACCTCGCTCCACCTGACTCCAAACCAGAGCATACTGTTTTGAGGACTGGGAAGACTTCATCGTCACCTGAGGTGTCACACTGGCTTAGATTATTAAAACATCTCTTTGTGTGGCAATAGACCTCGCTCCACCTGACTCCAAACCAGAGCATACTGTTTTGAGGACTGGGAAGTGTTTGTTCTTCTGTTTGGATGGTTCTCCTTGTACTGGAAGGTCAGTTTCTCAAAAAGGAGCTGGCGTGAGCAGTGTCTTCTGTTTGTTGTAAGTCCTTCTTTCAGTGCGTACACCTGACACGCGAGGTAGAAACACGCTTCTTAGCTGTAGAATGATATCTCAGGCTTCTCTCACTTTGGATTTCTTATTTTCCAAGCTCAAAACTAACATTCTGTTGTTGTCTTGGTAATTTTCTTTAGCAGTGTACAAATGTTGGTAATTACTTGGTTTCCCAGTCTCTGCCAAGTTTTTCTTTTCTTTCATTTGTTTCTTTATGTCTTCAGGACTATCTCGAAAGGATCTTTTCTGACATCTTTCCTTGGCCATCTTCTGCACTGGCCAGTAGCTGTGTGGCTGTCACCCTCTTCCTCACATCCTCAGCCTCTGCAAAGCTGTTACGCCTCAGCTGAACCCTGAGCTCCAGGCCACCTGTGCCCTCTTGCATGGCCCACTCCAACTGTGGCTTCATTCAATCTTCAGGAATATGATTTCTTTCTTTCTTTCTTTCTTTCCTTCTTTTTTTCCTCTCTTTTCTTTCTCTTTCTTCCTGAGTCAGGGTCTTGCTATGCAGTCCAGGCTGGCCTTGGGCTCACAATGATCCTCCTGTCTCAGCCTCACAAGTGCTGGGATTAGAGGAGTGCGCCTCCAGGCCTGGCCTAAGCGTACGCTTATTCTTTACAAGGCTCTGTGCACGTCTGAAAGGAGGAAACCTGCAACTAAAAGGTAACCAGATCCCTGTCGGTGGATGTGACCTGCTCCCCATTTTCTGAAGAAACAAAATCCTCTAGAGCTTTTTCTTCTGTTTCTTTGGGTACAATATCCACTGTGGCCTACTCTTTCTAATAAGGTTCACTAAAGAATTTCAGGACCTTAGGTGGCCTTAAAAATGAGATACTATAATACAAGATACAAGGTTCAGAGTGAGCCAAGTCAGGTGAGGGCAGGATCCTGCTCCCATGGTTAACCTTCAGATACAAAACTGCTCAGAATGTGATGTGGCCGGTTAAACTCTTTTTCACCTGCACATGGGGATTTGTGCATTTTAAATCTGTTGGTGTTGCTATCCCAAAATACACTAGGTGATCTATGAGTGACAAAGTTCTTGTCACTTTATAGAGGCTGGGTAGGCGCACAGGAGTCCGATCAGCCATGGCTCCGCCTCCGGAACGGCAACCGTCTTGTTCTGCTTCACTCTCCTTTGTTGAGGTCGCCACCATTCCTGACAGGAAACCTCCAAAGACTGCATAATCCCGCCGCACTGGGGCTCAGGTTATAGTACAGGAGACTGGGGACACAAGCATGAAGCGCCTAACAGCGTCTCTATCTTAAACGGGTTCCCCACCCCACCCACCCGGCTGCTCAAACTCCTGTAAACGCACAGCCCCCACCAAGAGCCCTACAGCCTGACCTCTCTTAGTGCAATCCTCTCCCGCGGTGGCAATGTTTTTCCGGCAGCCAACACTGGTATGATCCCTCCATTAATTCTGAAAGGAATGTACTTTCTCCCGCTTGCTCAGGGAGCAAAGAAAGCCCTATTATATTAGTTTAGCAACTGTCTTAGTTCCTTTTTACTCGTTGCTGAGACAAAATACCTGAAGCCTCAAGTTGGGAAAGGAAAGGTTTATTTCGTTCAGTTTTTGGAGGTTTCAGTCCACACTCAGTTGGCTCCAAGGCAGGCTGGCATAGCTGGACCGCAGTTCATGGCAGCTGCAAACAGCAAGGCAGAAACTGGGCAAAAGAGCTCAAGACACAACTTCGTGCCATTACGTTACATCCTGGCTCCACTCCTATGTGGGTGTAGCACTGACACCATCAATCCAAGCTAGACAATGAACCAATCACAAATGCACAATGCAAATGTATGAGGCCTGGGGGCCACCAACATAAACCATGACAGCAACGAACTCAAGTTACCTTGGGTTGAAATAATCACCCTCAGTTTAAATTGTGCCTATATTTCAGAATTTTACATGGTTAACTCTCGGTTCCTATCGTCCTGGTAACTGATATCCCACCCAACAAACAGGGTGGACCTGGGGTCCTGCTGTCCCTTGGCACCTCCGTGCCCTTCCAACTTTTGGTCTGAGGCACATTTGCTCCACTGAATGGGCTAGCCAGCCCCCAGCCCCCAGCCCCAGCCCCCAGCCCCCAGCCCCCAGCCCCCAGCCCCCAGCCCCCAGCCCCCAGCCCCAGCCCCAGCCCCACTATGTTAGGGAACATTTATCACAGGTTCCTGGCCTTTTAAAGGTACTAGAGAAAGTGCTAGTTCTCTTTCAAATATGTAAATGGCTCTGAAAAGAGCCTTTGGGAGTGGAGTGCAGGCAGCCCAGTGGCGGCGAGCGCGCTCACTTGGAGCTCGTGTACTTGGTGACCGCCTTGGTGCCCTCCGACACCGCGTGCTTGGCCAGCTCCCCGGGGAGCAGCAGACGCACGGCCGTCTGGATCTCCCGAGACGTGATGGTCGAGCGCTTGTTGTAGTGCGCCAGGCGCGAAGCCTCGCCCGCGATGCGCTCGAAGATGTCGTTCACGAACGAGTTCATGATGCCCATGGCCTTGGACGAGATGCCCGTGTCCGGGTGCACTTGTTTCAGCACCTTGTACACATACACCGAGTAGCTCTCCTTGCGGCTGCGCTTGCGCTTCTTGCCGTCCTTCTTCTGAGCCTTGGTCACCGCCTTCTTCGACCCCTTCTTCGGGGCTGGCGCAGATTTCGCGGGCTCGGGCATCCTGCAAACAGGGTGGAGAACAAAACAGGCTGGCTGGAGGCCGACCGGGCGCTGCCCTATATAGCCAGCGTTATGCAAATGAGGCTCACAGACGGTCTCTGGCGATTGGCGAGTTCTCTCTTGTGACGTCACCCTGAAGTCCCACCCAGCGGGGGAAATTACGCAGCCCTTACAGCCGCGTCCCATTGGTGTAAACGAAAATCAAAAGCGGCCAATCGCACGGCTTCCTTTTCGCGCCCAGAAGACGCTATAAAGGACGCTTTCTATACTGGCGAGTCTACTGACCTGTAGGTTCACTGTGTATCTCGTCACAATGTCTGGACGTGGCAAGCAGGGTGGCAAGGCTCGCGCTAAGGCTAAGACGCGGTCTTCCCGCGCTGGCCTGCAGTTCCCAGTGGGTCGCGTGCACCGCCTGCTCCGCAAGGGCAACTATGCCGAGCGCGTGGGCGCCGGCGCCCCTGTCTACCTGGCGGCCGTGCTGGAGTACCTGACGGCCGAGATTCTGGAGCTGGCGGGCAACGCGGCGCGCGACAACAAGAAGACGCGCATCATCCCGCGTCACCTGCAGCTGGCCATCCGCAACGACGAGGAGCTCAACAAGCTGCTGGGCAAGGTGACGATCGCTCAGGGCGGCGTGCTGCCCAACATCCAGGCCGTGCTGCTGCCCAAGAAGACCGAGAGCCACCACAAGGCCAAGGGCAAATAGAAGTTGATTAAGATGACTTGGCCTGTCCCGACCAAACAAAAGGCTCTTTTCAGAGCCGCCAATACTTCCTTTGGAAGAACTGAGCACTGGTACAAAACATCTTACTTATTTGTTCTGAATCACACAGCAGAGGATTATCAGCCTTCAGTAACTGTATCACCCCGCTTCCTTGTACTTCGCTTTAGCATAACAGCAGATGAAAGCTCAGTGTAGTGTTTCTCCTTGGGCTTTGCTCTAAGATTTTGCCACTCTAGTTACCACAGAATCTCATGCTTCCAGCAGTGGGTCAGTTTTAAGTCTAGATGTAGCATTGGTTTTCCCAGTCTTAGCAAATGTAAGAACCTTAGGACACAGCTTCCAACCCAGATTTCCAAAGTGTCATAAGCTTTTTTGTTTTGGAAATTAGGTTTCTGAGCCCCAGTAACACCAGGATAAACAGGTTTACACTACTAAAGGATTTTATTCAGGTTGTAAATGTGGACATTAATTGGGTTGTCTTCCCAGTCACTTCTCATTGTTTACTGAAGTGTTTTCTAAGCCTTTTATCCCACCCACGCAAAGTTTGTGCAAAGTTAAGATAGCTATTCATTTGTGTCAGCATGATAAAATTCTTTTAAACTGCATTTGATCTGATATTTTTAGCCTGATTTATGCACTGCTGGGCTATTTACTAGCACAGGAATTAAATTTAGAATAGCAGGAAAGAGTAGTGGAAGTTTTATATTATCTGAAACCGAAAGCTAATTGGTACAAGGAGGATTTCCTTGGAACGAATTATTAGGCTTTAAATTCCTTATACAAGTAGGAATCTATTAATGTAAATCTAGGAATCTATTAATGTAAATTAAGTTCTAAAAGTGAAGGCAAGAGGTGAGGACGGGTTTTAACTGCTCTAATTCGGTAATCATTAACTACTGATCATTGGGAATTTGGTAGCCTGAATCATAGTGTTGTGCATATACAGAGCACGCAGGGTTTCTAAGACTTAGTGCCAAAAAAGTAAAATATTTAGCACTATTTTAGATTGATTACATACTGAATTAAAACCAAGCAAAATATTGAAATTAATTTGTCCTGGTTTTACTTTGTTCTGTTTTGGCTTCTAGAAAAAATTTATTTCACTTGTATTTATTTCCGTTGTAATTAGCTGGTATAAAGTACACTTACAGGGCAACAAAAAATATGCCCCAGACAACCAAAACGGTCAACAAAGTTAGGGGAAAAAAATATTTGAAATAGCTTTTGCTTTCCTTGACCAATCCGATTACAGTTGGGTGAGCGTTGGCTGGTTTTCGTCCAATCGCCTTTAGGCTCCGACTATAAATTAGCGGCCAGTCCTGTTCCTCAGATTGTGGTGGTTCCGGCCCTGCAAGAATGGCTCGTACGAAGCAGACCGCTCGCAAGTCCACCGGCGGCAAGGCCCCGCGCAAGCAACTGGCCACTAAGGCCGCTCGCAAGAGCGCGCCGGCGACCGGCGGCGTGAAGAAGCCGCACCGCTACCGGCCCGGCACTGTGGCGCTGCGCGAGATCCGGCGCTACCAGAAGTCCACCGAGCTGCTCATCCGCAAGCTGCCGTTCCAGCGGCTGGTGCGCGAGATCGCGCAAGACTTTAAGACCGACCTGCGCTTCCAGAGCTCGGCGGTGATGGCGCTGCAGGAGGCGTCTGAAGCCTACTTGGTGGGGCTTTTCGAGGACACCAATCTGTGCGCCATTCACGCCAAGCGCGTCACCATCATGCCCAAGGACATCCAGCTGGCGCGCCGCATCCGCGGGGAACGAGCCTGAACCCCGTGCCACCCTCCCCGTCCCCAAAGGCTCTTTTCAGAGCCACCCATATGCGCTCTGGGAAGGGCTGTAATTCCTGGTTGCCTCCTTTCACTTGCTGGGTACGTGTGTGTAACAGTTACTTGCGGGAAGGGGGATTTTTGTAGGTTAAATGCTTTCACAATATTTGCTTTCTGGCAAAATCACTGGTGGCTGTACTTGCGTGTTAGCTCTGGTAGAATGACCTCACTGCTGTTCCTACCATGGTATCTATTGTCTACTGCAGCACAAATCTTTAAAAGATTGCTGTGTTAAGGCTTGATGCCATTTTTTCCTACGGTTCCGTGCCTTGTAAATGGGCAGTAGTTACTTGTGTCTGCTAAAATCGCTAGTGACGGCATGGTTTGTAAGTCATTTGCAGGAGAGACAGCTGAGGCAGGTTTCCCGGTAAATTCCCTGTAAAATCTGTATTTCGGATACTTCTGTCGTAGCCATCCTGTTTTGCTTAATGAGGTGGTGCACGCCTGTAATCCCAGCATTTGGGAGACAGGCTGGAATCCTGTGAATTCCAGACCAGTTTGGGCTCCAACGGGAGTTCCAGTTCAGTCTGAACTACACAGGGAAGACCCTGTCTCAAAAATAAAAGGTAACTAACAGCCTGACAAACCTGGCTTTTGTGTAAATACTCTCATCAAGGGTTTGTCAGGCTGTTAGTTGGAACTCCTATAATCCCCACGACTTCACCAGTGTATGTCACATTGTATCACTTGGTTAATGTGGTGTGTCCCTTTAAAATTCAGGTTTAGGAAAGAATATTTCTGCACACCTAGCAAGTTAGCACTCTTTTTTAAATAAATGAGTGCACACATGGGTGCACAGCAATTGTGGAAAACCCCAAATGAAAGTGAAAACTAACCCAAGTGTAGGCATCAGCTTCCTGTGTGGCCCACACCTGGCTTTACTCCACCCATTCTTGTATTCCAAATTGTGTCTGTAAGTTTTTCCTGCCATCTTCCTTTCTCATCTGAGCATTCTTCACACCTTTCCCTGACATATTCTATCTGCCTATCATTGTCTCTTTACAGTGAAATCAGACACAAATCGTCCTTAAATTGTCAGCTTGTGATAATACGGAAGTAGAAACGTCACAATTTTTGTAGTTTTAAAAAGCAGTCTGCTGTTTCACTTGGTGGTTTATGCATGTTATCAGAATTGGCCACAAGTGTTCATATTTTTCTGAAATCAGATAACTTGAAAATATTGCAGTCTGCTCATGCTGCTGTGAGTGAGCCTATAAGAAAGGATACCCATGATTTGGACAGATGGGACCTTCATAATGTTCACATATGGTATTTATGATGATTTCAATATATTATGAAACATTCAGTTTCATAATATAGTTCTAATACTTTCTGTTGGGATCACATTAAACTATAAAAATATGACTGTCCTCTCTCCAGAATTAGTCTGCCTCAGGAAAGGAAAGAATGCGATTCTGCAGAGAAGCAATGCCCAGAAAACTACAGGGAAAGGGGATTCCTGGTGATCCAAGCTTGGGGCAACTGCTAAACACATTAGTATTCTTGAGGGTGTCACCTGTGTATTTCCTTGTTGCATACTGAGACACTAACACTGGAAGGCTACATGGAGATTTTTAAAGTTTAAAAACTCATCAGTACTCTTGCAGGACTAAAAGACTCCCTTTTCTGGAAATAAGCAGCCAAAACTATCTTCCCAATTAACTTTTCCAGTTTAGATCACAAGTCATTATTTATTCCTGCACAGTTAGGTATAGCTAAACGTGCATTGATATTCTCTCTGAGTATACTTCCTGTGCTGAGCTGCAACAGTCTTGTAATTTTCTAGCTGTATTTTCTGAAGTTTGAGTATGTTTCCATCTTACGAGAACAGAGCTCTTCACTGTAGCGTGTAACAGCACAGAAAAAGGAATACTCCAAGATGCCAGATCAGACTTTTGCTAATAGTGATGCATTTACTAACATTTATTTACTAAATGAGAGTAGAATTGCTGATGATCAATCAGTCTGTGATAGATATTTTGACTTTCTTGCATGTAAGAAATCTAGAAGGTAGATGAATATGTATGTCTTAAACTCAGATTTATATTGTCTGAGATAAACATAAAGAGCTGAGTCATTAGTGTTTAAGAAGTATTTAAGCTAAAGGCCTACAAATCCTCTGTGTCGTGTCTCTAGCAACCTTTGGATTACTGCCAATATTGAATTTCTTGTAACTTGCCTGGCTCCTAGTAGAGACCTGAGCCTGGTGTGTGTTTTCTGCTGGATACCTGTACTGTTCTCTAATTTATTCTAATCCTCAAATCAGCTTTATCCTCCTCAGATTTTACTCCTCCCCGCTACACCCCCCCTAATTCCCTATGCTGATTTATTTTGTCATTGTTGTTACATTATGCTTTTGTGTGCTTTTACCCAATACATTGTTTCTTTGTGATAGGCACTGTTTTATTTATGTTGTATTTTTAATGTATGGTATCTCAATGTGAAATAAATCACTCTTTGAAATGAGTTAGAATTTAATAAAAGAGGGAAAAGATGTAAGTCCTTGCCCCTGAATTTCCTGAGGTGGCAAGACAGTAAATGGCATATATATTCCAGTCCTCTTCAAGTGCCAAAACCACAGACTTAACTTGCTGCATGTTTCATAGGTTTCCTCAGAGGAGTCCATCTAATAGTGCTCTTGGAATGACAGCAGAGCTCACTTCTATCGTTATTCAAAAATCAAGTTTGACTACTATACTTTGCTCTCTACCTACCATGCTGTGCTCAAGAAATACTTGATTCATATCAAGACCTGTTAAGATAGGCCTATTGAGCCTAGGCCCAATAATGTTTTACAGCATAGAACTACAAAATATCAGAACATGGCATGTAACTCTAAGATAAAAATTTTGTAAAGTATCATCTCATTGGTGCACCAACACACACAGGTGACGGGCTCTCGAGTTCTAAGGACTCTTCACTGGCAGGGAAGGATCCCCAACTCCTTTAATTATGAAAACCAAAAAGAAAAAAAAAAAACCCACTAAAGTTAATGTACTAGTAAATACCTACATTTTAATTTGCACAAACATTCTGAGTCCTTTTGAAGGGCTGAGGAAACGGCAAAGGACTATAAGTTAGCGTTAAAACTGTTACCTGGCACCTTTACCCTGCTTGTTCAGCTGTTACTATCAAGTACTAGCTTCAAGTAGTTATGAAAATCAAATTTGTAATACTAGGTACCTCATACTCTTGAAATGCATGATAGGTACTCTACTTACATTCCTAAGCACCTCTGAACGTCAGATTAAGCACAAATGTGCATCTAACTTTCACAGCAAAACTTTTTGCTCGTTTTAATTTCCAGTGTTAATCTCTATTGCACCTACAATGTTATGCTCATCCTGGAACCATAACCGACTCTGCACGGGGAGGAGCTCTAATGCTGTCAGTGTGATCAGAGTTAAACCACTTTAACCATGACAAAGGCCCATGAAATCAGCCAAAGTTCCACACACTGTAAGACCTAGTGTTACCTTCTTTTACGACTAGGTAAGTGGCTCTGAAAAGAGCCTTTGTTTTTCTCGAGACAATTGTAAAAGTTCACTTGGCCTTGTGGTGGCTCTCGGTCTTCTTGGGCAGCAGCACGGCCTGGATGTTGGGCAGCACGCCGCCCTGAGCGATCGTCACCTTGCCCAGCAGCTTGTTGAGCTCCTCGTCGTTGCGGATGGCCAGCTGCAGGTGACGCGGGATGATGCGCGTCTTCTTGTTGTCGCGCGCCGCGTTGCCCGCCAGCTCCAGAATCTCGGCCGTCAGGTACTCCAGCACGGCCGCCAGGTAGACAGGGGCGCCGGCGCCCACGCGCTCGGCATAGTTGCCCTTGCGGAGCAGGCGGTGCACGCGACCCACTGGGAACTGCAGGCCAGCGCGGGAAGACCGCGTCTTAGCCTTAGCGCGAGCCTTGCCACCCTGCTTGCCACGTCCAGACATTGTGACGAGATACACAGTGAACCTACAGGTCAGTAGACTCGCCAGTACAGAAAGCGTCCTTTATAGCGTCTTCTGGGCGCGAAAAGGAAGCCGTGCGATTGGCCGCTTTTGATTTTCGTTTACACCAATGGGACGCGGCTGTAAGGGCTGCGTAACTTCCCCCCGCTGGGCGGGACTTCAGGGTGATGTCACAAGAGAGAACTCGCCAATCGCCAGAGACCGTCTGTGAGCCTCATTTACATAACATGGGCTACATAAAGCCGCGCCCGGCCGGCTTCCATTCAGTCTGTTCGGTTCTCAACCCTGTTTGCAGGATGCCAGAGCCCGCGAAATCTGCGCCAGCCCCGAAGAAGGGGTCAAAGAAGGCGGTGACCAAGGCTCAGAAGAAGGACGGCAAGAAGCGCAAGCGCAGCCGCAAGGAGAGCTACTCTGTGTACGTGTACAAGGTTCTGAAGCAAGTGCACCCGGATACGGGCATCTCGTCCAAGGCCATGGGCATCATGAACTCGTTTGTGAACGACATCTTCGAGCGCATCGCGGGCGAGGCTTCGCGCCTGGCGCACTACAACAAGCGCTCGACCATCACGTCTCGGGAGATCCAGACGGCCGTGCGTCTGCTGCTGCCCGGGGAGCTGGCCAAGCACGCGGTGTCGGAGGGCACCAAGGCGGTCACCAAGTACACGAGCTCCAAGTGAGCGTGCCTGCGCTGCTGCACTGCTGGTACCCCACCCCCAAAGGCTCTTTTCAGAGCCACTCACGTTTTCTAAAAAGGAGCATTCACTGTTTTCGCTGCCTTTTCAAGTTTGTTGGGTCTTACATATCTGTGTTAAGTAGGTAAGCTTTTAAAAACTAAAGGTATATAGTTCTTCGGTGCTGGTCGGTCCAGGTATGTGTGAAGTTTGGAATGGGGTAGCCTGTTGCTCTTTGAAGAGAATAGAATAGTGGTACCGGAACCCCGTCTAGGGTTGAGATAGTATGAAACTCAAAAAAACACCCATGAGGTTGTTTTCACTGCTGTGGTTTTCTTCCAAGGCACCGCTAGGGTGCGCATTCCTTAGCTGCGCTATAATCGTGGGTACAGTTAGACTTGAGTTCCTTTTTCTTTTCCTTTTTACTGGAGATCGAACTCACGGTCGCGCGCTTGCAAGGCAGGCGCTTAGGCCGCTGAGTTAAATCCCCAACCCGAAGACGCGAGCTCTTGAGCTGCAGCCCTTGTCCTGAGTGAGCGGGTTCCATGTTTTATCTCCCACCAAGGTTGCTTCACGCTGGGGCCCCGTGCGCTTAGACCTGCTAGGTACAAGTTGGACCCAACACAGTAGTCTGTCTCATCCGCTTTGTTTCCGTCTGAAGTAGCCTTGACTTTTATGCCCAGCTGATAGCTGCAGAAAAGGCAAAAAGCGCACAGCAGGGAGGACCAGACGCAAGACCACGCGCAGGAGCTGCGGGATCTCACAGGGCCGGCTCTACTCCAAACCCACCTTAGCAGGAGGTGCCCGAATCTCAGAGCAAGCAAGGCTGCAGTGCAAGGCTCACCTTTATCGTGGGCTCTCGGGCGACCAGAGCCTCTTCCCATGCCATCCAGTGGTACTAGCCAGTAAGCCCGGTACCACCATGGCCCAGGCTCCTGGAGGCACTCGGGACCAGCCTGGCTCTCCTGGTCTTGGCTCTTTGTGGAGCCCAGCCCAGCCAGTCACCATCTTCAGACATCACCAAAGCCCAGGGACTTTGATTGGAGACATTTGCACGGCTGGGGGATCCCAAAGATTCAGAGCCTTTCAAAAGCTATGCAGAAAGGCCCATTCCTTATACAAAAAGATTAGAAAATTCATTTTGCATTATTACAGAGGATGTTCCTGCTTTAATTTAGAGTGGAAAGTCACAGAAAGAATGGACAGAAAAAGAGTGGGCCACATGGTAAGCTGAGGACATTCCCGCCTGTTTATTCAGATTCCTTTCTCTACAAGCAGGTTCCTTTCCTCTGGGAATAGGGACAGCTGGTCTCACAGGAGGGCCCCATTACCTGCTTCAGGGGTGAAAAACAGGACACTGAGTCCCTCCCTTTCTAAATTACTCAGTTCAAAATATTCAATGTGCCAAATCTCGTATTTTAGTGTAGTGTATCAGTGCCAGTCCAGACATTATGCAGAGCTGTAGAAGTCTTTTATTTTTTTTTAAATTTATTTATTTATGAGATTGGGTTTCACTATTTAATTCAGGATGGCCTTGAACTTGCAGTCATCTGCCTGCCTGTCTCTTGGATGCTGGGATTACAGATGTGCACTACCAATCCCTCCAAGTGCCTCTTTCAAGGTATCCAGGTTCAAGAAATGATACACCAAAGCAAGTTTCTTTGGGTGCTAAGTACTTTAATAAGACCCCAGAAGCAGAGTCTCTCTGGCATTCTTGTCTCCAAAGCAGGTCACAGAAACTAGAACCCATCTTGCTCAAAGACAAACACAAAACTTGACAAATATTATTCCAAGCCTCCGCTCCCTTCTGTGTTTGAGCAGGGCCGAGGGAATTCTCCAGCCTGTCTCTGTGTTGGTAGATCCGAAGATCCTGGTTCTGGGCCTGCCTGCCCAGCCAGGGTGGAAGAAAAGCCCCACGGAGAGGCCGGGACACTAGATCGAAGCACCCGGTGGGTTTCCCTTCACTGTCACCCTCGGGTCATGCCCTTTGTGTCCAGTTGTTCTGACACAGCTGACATTTCATCAAACTCGAGCAAAACCTGGGCAGTTCTCCCTGAGTCATTTCTGAAGGCTCTGTGTCATGTAAAAGTCTCATCAAATAAATTTCTTGGTGTTTTCTTTTGATAATCTGGCTTCTATTAGAGGAGTACTGGCTATGACTCTTAAGGGGGGACCATGTCTTTTTATTCTACAATTTGAATCTTCTCCAATCATTAACTGCAAAGCAATTACATCAAAACCACATCAAAGCTGGAGATATAGCTCAGTGTTGGAAGGTCCCACACGCAAGGACTTTATTTCCATCCCTCGTATGGCACACACAACCCCACTCATGCTATCCATGATGGGAAATGTTGATGGCAGAGTGCTGGAATAGCGAATATAACAACCATTTTTAGGAAAATGTCCTGCTATTAATCAAGTACCTTAAATAGTCTACAGCTGTGGTAAAGCATTTTCCTTCTAAGGTATCCTCAGGAAGTAATTATGTAGTTTTTATTTGTAATAGAAAAACATTTGAGAAAACACTTTCTGGTTAAATATTAGATGTTTGCTAAAGTGTAACAGAAAATTCTTATGATGGAATATTAAGGAATCATTTAAATTTTTCCCTGAGGTAAATTTCCCAGATTTTTAGCTGCAAGCAAGATTCCGTTTGGCAAGGAAAACTGTTAGACTAGAATTTTAGTAATACTTAAGGTTAAAAATGGGACTTCAGCAGAGAAAATTGGAGGTACTTGGAGGTACTTAAAGATATGTCTGATTAATGAACTGCAAGTTAAAACTGCATTATGGATAAGTCATAGGGAATAAAAAGCAAAAATTAATACTTTTTTTTCCAAACAGTATCGACATGTAGTTCAGGCTGGTCTTGAACTCACTGTACAGCCCAGGTTGGCACTGAACTTGCAGAGATCCTCCTACCTTAGCCTCCTGAGTGCTAGGGTTACAGGAGTGCATTTACATTCATGCTCGTTTGCACACTAATAAGCTTAATTTCAGAAGTGTTAAAATACACCTGGACAAAAACAAACCTTAAAGGCCTCTAAATACATGTTTTCCATACTGATTTAATGCAGAACGTTACTAAAAACCACTATTAGATATTTGGTCCGTTAATAGCTTCCACAGTAGCTATATATATTTGAGATAGTTCGGACCCCAGCATAAAATACAAGGAAGCAAGAAATTGGGAGCAAAGTCTTTATTCCAGGCCTGGTGATGCAGCCCCCTTAAGATCGACCCAGAGACTGCCTAACAGACTAGGGGAGGGATATTTAAAGCTAAAAACCTGCAAAGCTGTAAAGCTGTTGACTTAGTTCTGATAACTTGTGGAACTCTTGGTACATTCTGTTACTCCCACCCTGCGGTTATTATCTCGGAATAGCACACCTGCAATAACATGTGGAAAGCGGGTAGGGGAGTTAATTTTCTTGGAACAGCATACTAGCAATAACATGCGGAAAGGGGGTAGGGGAGTTACAAGAAGCTGAAACTTAAGTTTTTACAAGAAATAGAAACTTAACCCTATCGAGACTGCGTATACAGAACAAAATGGAGGCGCACTGGTTAGAGTTAGGCCATAACATTCCCCTCTGATGTTGTGACTGAGGCCAATTCTTTGGCCAAATGCTAGGGATTTTGGGGAATGAGCTCATAGGCTTGCTGGCGGATCATCATCAGCTTTATGTTCTGCATTTGTTGTCTAATATATGCAGTTAGTTTATTGATTATACAAGGACATATTGCAATCAAGACTAGCAACCCTAGCAATAGTCCAAGCAAGGGCAGAAGATAAGGCAGAATTCCATTCCAGACACTCCAAAAGGGGTTTTCAAATAGCTCTCTTCTTCTTTTTACCAGGGCTTCCTGCAACCTCAAGATTTTATCTCAAACAATGCCAGACTTGTTTACATAAAAACAGCATCGTTCTTGCAATGCCGCACAGATCCCTCCTTGTTCTGCCATCAGGAGGTCTAGCCCTCTTCTATTTTGAAGAACTACTTCAGCTAATGAATCTATTTGATCTTGAATGTCCTGAACAGCACTAGATAATGCCTAGTCATCCTGTAACCCTAGCACTCAGGAGGCTAAGGTAGGAGGATCTCTGCAATTGACGACCTGGTTGGAAAGTTGAACAGAGACTCCCACTCCTGGTGCCTCCATACCCAGGGCTCCTGATATTCCCAGACCTACCAATAAAGGAATAAGTTGAACTTCCTTCTTTGAGTGGCCTGTAATGTAATCCAGGCTAGAAATGGGGACAGGCTCGTCCCCGGGTAAAACCTCTATTGTCAGGCAACAGGACAGCTATAACATATTCCTGACCAGTTAGTTGGGAGGAAAGTATGGGCCAGATTGCCTCCACAGATGAACACTTGTCCTTTGGCAGGACAAAGAGAGGTAATCTAGTTAATTAAAGGACTACAGTTAACAAAAGCAAGGAAACCCACGTTGATATCAGAAGTATCATTATGAAAACTTCCTTAGAGACATGGAGAATCTCTAAACCCTATTGGTTGTACTCTGAAGGGGAGACCAACACTATTTATGTGACCTGGTCGCTTTGGTGGCGCCAGGGTAGCATTGGAGGGGATCGCAAGAGGTATGGGAGAGTCTTGTGCTATGCATAGCCAACAATCTTTAGCTAAAGTTGGGTTGGAAGCATTTAAGGCCCTATAACTGGCTCCTAGAATGTCAGAAGTCTGAGCATCCAAATCAATTCCCCGTGATTCAGGCAGCATCAAGGGGTGGTAATGCACCTGGGGAAATATTTTTTCTATTTAAACCATTCTTTAACCACGAATTCTCTGGTCTTATCCTGTGCACCGCCTCCATCAGAGATATGTATTGGGGCCACCATGCTCCAGCACACGGGTTTACCAATCTTGCCGCTACATGAGGCTTGGCGGTATTTTGAATTTCCTATTACCGTCAGATTGACAAACCAATGGCCCCCATCACTCCCCATTTTTGTCCTCAAAAGTTCAGCAGTGAAGTAAGTTTTGCCGTCTTTGCCTGTATATTCCTGCACCGAGTCATAGCAGGAGGAGTGCATTTCTGAATAATAAGGACAATCTTCAGGGCATGGCC